TCAAGGCTAGGAAAGAATTTTGAATTTGTAAAAGAACTCTTGAAATAAAAAGCAGAATTTGCAATATTTTTGTCACAAATTGAGTGGTTTAAAAAAAACCTAAATCATTTAAATTACTCTTAGTACTCAGGCATCTAAGCTTGTTTACCATGAGGTATAAAAGTTACAAAATTGATCAGTTCAAATAAACTGAATTGCCAAAACACAAACATTTTTCATATTACATTCTAATGATCGTACCAATTGAACAATGATAGTAACAATAATTGATACTTGGTATATGAAATACCGATTCATTCTTTTTTTTCTCTGACAATGTAATTTCGATGTAAATATTTGTCCAAAAAAAACACAATAAATAAGATTTAGTAAATCAAAAATATTTTCTTACATAAATCTGCTTTATAAGCAAATATAGGTAGTGGAATCCAGGACGCCCGTTTCCGATGCAATATGTTCTTTCGTCATCCTCTTTTCCACTTGCCTTCATGATTCCTAGTTGAAGCTTGCCCCACGATGTAGTTTGATGATTTCCTCAATGCCTGTCCTATCCACTTCTAACTTATTTTCCTAATTTCCTCTTCAGCTGGAAGCTGGTTTTTCCTCTCCCTAAGTAGACTGTTGCTGATTGTATCCGGTCAACAGATAGTGAGTATTTTGCATAGACAACTATATATAAAAATTTGTACCTTTTTGATGATTGTTGTAGTAGTTTTCCAAGTTTCATCGCCGTACAGTAGGACTGTCTAGACGTTCGTATTGAAGATTCTGGATTTCATGTTGACTCACAGCTTTTCTTCAACTGTAGGAATGCGGCTCTTGCCTTGCCAATTTCAAAAATAACACCCACTAAACATTATATTTCTTTGACTTGAGAATTTATTACTAACCGTTAACATTATTCAAGACTGAACTAATTAAATTTCGTCGATGGATTTTATAAAATTTTCTTCTATTTACTAGTTGATTAGAGTATTTCAAGTTTTAGTGTTAATTGTAACATTGGAATTCAGGTATACTTATTTGGAGAATCCCAAATATAAGATAGAGTTCATAGCTGTTACCCAAAAATAACCACTAACTTTTTACTTTGGTTTCTTAGTGGTTTTTTTTATTTTTAATATCCAACTAAAACGCTTTATGTTTTCTTTCTAAATATATATCATTTAATACACTGTCGAAAAAATCTCACAAATCACCCTCACTACCTTTTTCCTACCATTCAATAGCTAAAGTTTAACGCAGACCTGAAATACACCTTTTATATTACATTTTTTGATACCTGTCGTAGTTATAAATCTTCTGAACTTAAAGGAAGACATTGAATGATTTATTTTATTTCAGCTTCAAATTCCATAAAGTGGCAGTGAACACTGACAAATCCTTATAAACAGTTTTTATTTCCTTTAAGTGTGGTACCTGATTAATTGGTCTCGCTCCTTTTTTTAATATCTAAAAAAACTAACATGTAACGACATTTCCTATATAGGTTATCACTAATTTTTATAAAATGAATGGTTTCGAAAAGAAGGAAAATGTCAATAGATTGATCCAAGAAAGCAAGTAATCAATTAGATTGAAGTATTGGTTGGATAAGTTAACCACCACCATAGTTTATTCATGAGTTTCGAAAGCGAATTGTAACTTCATTCAAACTATCATTATATATAAAATATTTTGATGTTTCTGTTATTATTCAGTTAAGCTCTGAAATGTACCAGCTTAATTCTTTCAGAATGTCATCGGGAACCTGAACCTCATCTAAATTTCAGAATATATTGTTTCTCAATAAGAATCAATATCTCAGTTATTATTATTAATGCTACTATGATTGTACACAATGAGTCTATTTTTATAAAAATGTTATGTATGATATAAAACATTGTTTTAAGTAAATTGAACTAATTGTAAGCAAAGATGGATAGTAGCTAGAAGTGGAATCCAAGATGGGCGTTTCGTTCTGTTTGGGACTTGTCAGCTAGATGTATCTGCATCTCAGAGATAATATTCACTCTGAGACTCGAACACAGTACCTTTCGCTTCAAACGCGATCGCGTTATCCACTTAGCTATTGAGTTTTGATAGCCACTTGCTTGTGCAATGAGGTGAAGTTTAAATTCACAAACTGAATTAAATTGAAATAATCCTCAAGTAGATTTATTGTGTACAATGTTCTAAATGAAAGTTAATAACTGAATAATTGACAAGCACATCATAGTTGATATGCCATAAAGAGAAATATGTAGAATAATTCATGTTTTAGGTGTAGTTTTGTTCTCTAAGTTGGATAGTTCGGTCATGGATCTTTCATTGTTCTTTTGAAAAACATCATTAGTATAAACTTCAGGTAGAAGTGAAATGTTCGAATATGTGGAGAAACTCGAACTTTTCACTTCTACCTGAAGTTTATACTAATGATGTTTTTCAAAAGAACAATGAAAGATCCATGACCGAACTATCCAGCTTAGAGAACAAAACTACACCCAAAGTATGAATTATTCTACGTTTTTCTTATTATGACATAAATATTTTTGTATGGAAGGCGAAAAAAGTTAATTTTGAAGACTAGTCAAAGTTGATATACACTCCGAATACTTCTAAGCAAATCCTTTATAGTATTTCCATTTATGAGACACACCCTTCAAATATTTCTAGTTGACGACGTTTCAGCCATAACATTCAACTTCAAACTAGTTCGCTTCAAACAGAAAAATAACTTTAAACTGAAGTGATCACAAAATGTTTCATGATTTATGCAGTTCAATCAATACTTAATTAAGAACACATAGTTATACAAATTACCTGTACATTATGCAACTTCTAGATGAATACTTTGTTAAATTTAATGATCAACTTTGGAAGCCAAATATTTTGATTAAAAGTATTTACATCTCGCGAGGCGAGGTCGTGGATGCGCACTGCTGAGGAGTCCCACAATAGGACGAAGCGGCCGTCCAGTGCTTCCAGGTTTTCCTTGATGGTCTAGCTTCAATTGGCTCATGCTTTCAACTATGAAACATACTAAATCTCCACAATAAAAAACCCTTCTGATAATTAATACTAGATTATTAATTATTTCATATGCACACATGCTTTAAGATCTACACCAACTTATATTATTGCAATTTGCATTAAATAATCTGTTACATCATTCAGTTTATTCACTGTTTATACATGTACACGGCATTAAGCCTTAAACTGTAGTGATTTGTTAGTGACACTTGTACACTTGAATCATAAAAACTGTTGAATTAAATCGTATCATCAATTATTGTGATAGACTGATAACAAACTGTTGTGTGACCTTTTTTCTGATCTATACATGTCTAATCGTAACTTTATTGATTGTACTGTCGTGAACAAGGACACAAGTGAAGACAACCAAATGTATCTCAGTAAAAAAATTACAGAATCTTTTGGTAAATTCTGTTAACCATATGATAAATACTTCATTTTGTAAAATATCCATCAATTGCCTCAGACTTCGTTGTTCCTTCGTCTACACATCAATCATTCTCTTTTCTTTGATCTTCTTAACCTTCTGTCGTCAAATATTTCACCTTTGATCGATGGCACATACTTCTTATATATGTCGACATCAGTAGTAGACAACACAATACTGTATTCATGAATGAATATTTCCACTTTCATAAATGTATTCTTGTTGACTAGTTACTGTTAGCTTTAGACATATTTTATCTATGCTTGTCTTTTGTGTTTGACATCTATATTCCAAATGGTAATTATATATATAATAAATCATCGATTATTCATTCAGTGTGTTTTTGAATATTTTCCTATCTGAATCAAGTCAACTTCTATGCTCATTCTTTTAGTTTGGTTGATCACTACAATGTCTGAAAATGCATATCCTAAATACAACTCGTATTCGATATTTTTATTTTTACATTGTTTTAATGTGATTAGTCGACAGAGGTTACATGGTATATAGGCTATATATTATGCTAGCATCATCGTCCAATAATATCGGAATTAGACAATGGCGACTAAAAATCTTTTATTTATATAGACATTCATGGAATTGAGTAGATTGATAATAAATTAATTAAATGATCCTTCCGCTAAGCATTGTGTTTTAAAGACTTTTTTAGTTTACATGGATTCTTTATAAATTGGGTTAGCAACGACATTTGACTGTAGTGTAATGGGTGCCAATCACTGCCTAATAGAATAGAATAGGATTAAATACAAGACCATTTTAAAAATAAAATATTTGATTTCTTCACAGTTATATAATATATATATATATATATATATATATATATATATATAATATACCTTTATGGGCCAGAGTAATTTTACATTGGTTTTCAGAAGAACCGGACACCACCCACGCTTTCACGTGACAACCCAAACAGTACAGCTCAATCCCACTTTTAGGAGAGCCAGACACTACCCAGGCTTAAAATTTATAACCCAAATAGTACGGCTCAATCCCGTTTCCAGGATAGCTAGACACCATCCAGACTTTCATGTGACAACCCAAGCAGTACAGCTCAATCTCGCCTCACAGGAGAACCAGGTACCTTATAGGCTTTAACGCTACATTCTGAATAGTACTGCTATATCCTGTGGTGCAACCACACAGGTACCAAGCACCCTGGTTAATTATTCACACCATTCATATACAAATTCAAATCACACATATAATGATTTCGATCAGTGATCGGAATTAATAAAAATGAAGGTAGATACTTTTAAATTTCATTTCATGCATGATTATCAACAAAACAAACACTCTCATCATATGGTATTGCATCTACAAGGACTCAGTAGCTGAGTAGATAACGCGATGGCGTTTGAGGCGAAAGGTACCAGGTTCGAGTCTCAGAGTGAACACCAACTTTCAGATGCAGGTACATCCAGATGGTGAGTCTCAAATAGAACGAAATGCACATCCTGGATTCCACAGCTAGCCACTGCCCATCTTAGCTTATAACTCTAATCATACTTTACACTCTAATTAACATGAAATATTAAGATGACAGCATTATAGTTGTCATTATTGAAACAAGAATGGTAAATAATCAGTACAAGTGATTTATTATTTTATCATTTAAAACGAATTTTTATGTTTTGAATGTTTTTTACCGCGGAATAATATGAAGCTTATTATCATAGTTACTATTCCCTTATATTGATAAACACAAAAAAATTCCCAATTTTCCCTTTTTTTAATCCACTGATATAAATTTGTTTGTTTGTGTACATGGATAAGTACTTTTTAATATTTAACGTATAAGTGACAAACTTTTATAATCCACTATCAGTATTTGTTGTATTTTACACATACAAAAATATCGGTTAATATTTGTGATTATTTTTTGATTGGTCTAAAACTTTTCCTGTTATTTGATTGGTTGGTTACTTTAAATGAAACTTTCCCTAAATAGAAAATTCCTCAAAATATCATTATTATTGAAAATAATAAATTGATTAAAAAAATTAAACACCATTTATTGATTAGTTAAATGATATAATTTGATAGATTAAAGTGGGATCTATTTATTCGTATCAAACAACCGGACTCTCTCTCATAGTCTTGTATATGAGCACAAATTCTAGCGATTATGAATCAAATTTATTATATCCAAGTTTACATTCTAATCAAAAGGTGAAAGTTTCAGTGTATCAAACTTGTTCTACCAGTACGGATCCATTTAGAAGTAACAATAATAATTACTATAATCAAACAAATTTATCAAACATGTCATATGTGAATTCAATATTGTCACCTTCTCAACGTACCTATTTCAATCAACAATCTTCATTTAATCCTACATCTATTACTAACAATAACAATTTAAGTATACTGAATATACCTATTACATCATATAATAATAAAACATTGTACAGAGAAGATACAATACACCCTTCTGTTAGTAATATAAATGTGAATCCAAGAAAAACTGAAACTATTTTATGCTTAAAACGTTTATTCACTTTTTTATTATCCCATGTTGGATTAGCTGTTCTAGTTATTATTTATACAGTTATTGGTGGTTCAGTATTTTATGCTGTTGAACGTGAACATGAATCAGAAATAAAACTTAAAATGTTTGAAAAACGTACAATTTTAGTAAAAGATTTAATATTAGAATGGCGTAACTCTCAATTAGAACTATTGAATACTATATTGAATCATGTAAATATAATTCAACAATTTGAACAAACAAATTTTGGTAAAAAATTTAATATTCATACAAATTTATATGATTCTATTGAACATTTAACTATAATAAATAGTCTTGATAACAGACGTTATTTATTTAATGAATTAAAAGATGAACAAAAACAACAATTATCTGGTTTATCATGGTATTTATCAACATTAGGCTGGCCAAAAAGAATATTACCACAATGGTGGTTTCATAGGAATTATACTCAATTCATGAATTTGTACAATACTAATGTTAATAAATATAATGAAAGAGAATTACCTAGTAAAACAATAACAGATGATGTAATAGATAAGATGTCAGATAATTCAAATTCCATACTGACGGACTCTGTGAATAATCTGAATGAATATAATTTAACTACCTCATCTTTATTGAATACAACCAATTCAAGAACATTAATAAACACAAGAACACAGTCAATAACTCCTTTACCTATCAACGATACATTAAAATCACAGTTCAAAAATAATTCTCAAACAGATCCTGTATACTTTTCAACAAATTTAATTCATTCATTGCCAAAACATTTTATTATACTTACAAAATTAGATGATATATTGCCAATTATTTTAAATAAAAGTTTTGAATTAGAAAATAATTTACAAAATAAATTAGCAGAATATGTTGAACAAATTGTAATAGCTATAAAAGATGAAGGATGGAATGGATCAGAACATAAAGATGATTTTAATTGGACATTTGAAGGAAGTATTTTATTTGCTGTCACTATTATTACGACAATAGGTAAGAGAAATGATACTATAGTTATATATATATATATATATATATATATATATATATATATATATATATCAGTCAGCTACTACGTTGGACGAGGCACACATATGCACCAGTCCAAGTTGCCATGCCTCGTTAGCACAACAAGTTGAACACCGAATTCATAGAAGTAGTTAATTTAGTGGTGGTAATATACATATATATATATATATATATATATATATTTGGAGTGATAATTACGTAACATATCAACTAGTTAATAGTATCTGCTGTTACATATCTCATGTTTATATTTAATTAAACAATCTATGAAAGATTTTAAATGATCAATTTAACTAGGCAGTTATTACAGTTTAGTGTTAATGAACTCACTAAGTTGATTTATTGTGGAATGAAAATGTCTCAATAAGATTATTTTCTTACATACTTGCTTACTTACACCTGTTCATTCCCAAGGAGGAGTGTAGGCTGCCCAACAGTTCATCTTCATTTTCATATTTGCTTCTAATTCTTGACGCATCGTGTTCTTTGGTCTTTCTCTTTTCCATTTCTCTACGAAATATAAACATATATTAACTTAAGTATTTATTTTCCATAGTAAGATTATCTCTCAATTCTTCACAAATTATACGTATTACTTTATATTTTGTTACTGAAATATTCTCACAGTTAGAAATCCAAACTTCTAAATTGTAATTGTCTGTCTTCAACAGTTGGATGTAATCATTCAGAGTTACTGAATATAAGTTTGAATCTAACTAACAGTCATTTAAAAATGCCTATATAAAGCCCCCAATTTACTATGCTTCATAAACTGTTAGAATCATGAGCAGAGATTCTTTTGTGAAGTTATTTAAAATCTAAACGATTCAATGGGTTAGACATAACTGGTTATTAGACAGTAACTATTTTTATTCAGCAATGAAAATCTTAAACAATTGACATCAGTCACTCGCCGCTAACTAACTAGAGTATGTCAGTTTCCATGGTATTTGTTTTAAACATGCATTTATTTACTTAACTGAACACTGAAGTTATGAGTAATAATATGAAGATGATTTATTTTTCAGCTGAACAATTACTTAAATATTTTTTTATATATAGCTGATCATCAGACTACGTTATTTAGAAAATGTTAATTAACAGACTTAAAATTTAAGTACAGAACACCAATAACAGCCTCTGTAGTATGAATCATTATTCTCAAACATGCTGGCTTTATATACCAAACAAACTGACCACATCATACCATAAAATAAAAAAGAACATTTGTGCAGTATTTAGCCCAATGTGGCTGTGAATAGGGGGAACAGTAATCAATAGACTGGGGATAACTCAAGAATGGTAAATCGTATAATAATAGTCTATGAGTCAAAATAAGTGTATTAATTAGAGGGACAAGAATATGATTAGTTTAGTTACTTAACAATTATACAATATGAAATATACATATCATATGGGTCCACAAATAGTCCTCAAAGTTACCATTCATAAATCTCCACGGAATATAACAGTAATAACATGTGAGACTGGAATAAATGCTTCGTTTCTATACAAAGCCCGTATAAATCTAGACTGAAATGTACCAAATTAAACGGTAGAAATGCTAGCCCTAGATCAAAGAAATCAATCTTGAATCACTGTTATTTGTATTCTGAAGTAGAAAATAAAGCCCAGTATCTTTTCTCTCTGATTCCAAGGTAGGTATTAGCAATTCAAATAAATCAACGATTTTTCTTTAAAGTATTTAAACGGCTATACTTTATTCTCATCGAAGCCTGGATTCATAAAACTATTTCTCAACTCAAATAACACTGCACAAAACAATTAAGTGAGCAGCTTACTAAATGTCATATTCATATTTACACTTATTAATTTGTTTACTTGGAGTGACGATTAAAATTACCCGCCAAATAGCGAATCGATCCAAATATAATCTTTAATTACATCCAGTACCCTAAATAATTAATTTTTTTTATTTAGAATAAAGGTTATGCAGTTCTTGAGGATTTGTCTATTTTTGTTGTTGATATTCAAAAATGCAAATTATCATTGTTTGATGGCATGTTAAAAATATTCGTAGACTGCCTTAATATAGAATTATATCACAAGCACCAGTATATTTGATGTGAAACCAGCAGTTTAATGCAGGACAAGTGTTTCTTACTTTTTGAAACTCATTATCTGAAACTACCTGCTTCTCAGTGTTGATGTTCATAATAACTTCATAGTAACTTTGACTTCTAACTTCAATAAATTATTCACAGAGCTATTGAGGATAAAACATTCGTACAAGATTTCATACCTACCGAAATGCCCAATAAGCTACCATATGATATTACTTAGTAATGAAAATAAACGACTTCTAAACATATATGTTGCATCACCGTGAAGAGCAGACTAGAGAAAACCAGGCTGGTTTTCGACCTGGACGTGGCTGCATAGACCAGATATTCACCCTACGTCAGGTTCTAGAACATAGACACAAATTCAGACGTCCCACAATAGTAGTATTTCTTGACCTTAAGGCGGCATTTGACTCCGTTGATCGTGAGGTTCTGTGGCAATGTTTGTCACTGAAAGGAGTACCAAAGAAGTACATTAACCGCATAAAGGCTCTCCACTCGAACACAACTGGTCGAGTTAGAGCCTATGGCGAACTGTCATCAGAACTGATTACCACAAGTGGAGTTCGTCAGGGCTGTCCACTCTCCCCATTCTTGTTTAACTTTGTCATTGACATACTTTTAGAGACAGCACTTTCATCAGCTAAGCCTCCAGGAGTTGAACTCTTACCGGGAGGCTCACTTATTGACTTAGAATACGCCGACGACATAGTTTTACTCGGTGAAGACGCTGACAAAATGCAGAGTCTTCTGACCACCATAAGCAACAATGCAGGCATGTTCGGGATGCGATTCTCTCCCTCGAAGTGCAAAATGTTACTTCAGGATTGGGTTGCAGCGACACCTGAACTAATGATAGGGAGTGAAGTAGTTGAGCGTATAGACCACTTCACTTATCTTGGGAGTCTCATCAGCCCTTGTGGTCTGGTGTTTGACGAAATCTCAGCACGGATACAGAAGGCTCGTCTAGCTTTCGCCAACTTGCATCATTTGTGGCGTAGGCGAGATATCCGTCTAGCAACAAAAGGACGGGTTTACTGTGCAGCAGTTCGTTCCGTCCTACTTTATGGAAGTGAAACATGGCCGGTAAGAGTAGAGGATATTCGTAGGCTACTAGTGTTCGATCATAGGTGTCTTCGAAGCATTGCTCGTATATCCTGGGACCACCGGGTAAGTAATGCAGTTGTTAGGAAACGAGTACTAGGTAGGGATGGCAAATCGATTGATGAAGTAGTGAAACTTCATCAGTTGAGATGGCTGGGACATGTGTTACGTATGCCCGACCACCGACTGCCCCGACGTGCAATGTTTCATGGTGTAGGAGTAGGTTGGAAGAAAGCTAGGGGTGGCCAGATCAAAACGTGGCACAAATCCATGAAGCCACTGACAAGTGGACTGGGCCATGTTGGTAAGTGTAGACTACCTGGTTGGGATTCGCGAGATGATAGCAACCGATGGTTAGAGACCTTGAATGACATTGCTCGAAATCGTTTGCAATGGCGAAGATGCATCCACTCTTTGTGTTCTACCAAATTCTAATCTTCTGAATTTCTCATGTCTTTATGTTTTTCTCTTTCCAAATATATTTCACTGTACTATACTCCTTCAATAATTTCTTCAAACCCTAATCTTTTGGATTTCTGATTATACTCTTACTACTTCTTCCACTATGGGATTTGAATCGACAACTGCATCTGTGTGCTAATGTGGTATGGCAACTCGAACTGATGTACGTACGTACGAAGTTCTACGTTGTGACTGACTGACTGACTGACCGTATACACAAATTTCATAAATACTAAATAAACCAGAATGAAAATGTACAATGTAAATTCACTTAGTATTGTTTGCTTGAATCTTCCTATTGATGTTTACGACTGCAACTGGTCAGTCTCTAATTGGTGTATTGCCTCGATATAGCCTAAATTCACAAGCATGGTAAGCAAAGATGGATAGTAGCTAGCAGTGGAATCCAGGACGAGCGTTTTGTCCTATTTGGGACTGGTCAGCTCAATGTATCTGCATCTCGGAGTTGATGTTTACTCTGGGACTCGAACCCAGTACCGTTCGCTTCAAACGCCATCGTGTTATCCACTCAGCCACTGAGTCCTCATAGCCACTTGCTTGTGCGATAGGGTGAAGTTTAAATTCACTTAGTGATGTTTGCTTGAATCTTCTCATTGATGTAGAATGTAAATGTTTTATAAAAATGTCAGATATACGGGATTACCTAAACTTAATCAAAATATCATGTAGCAATTAACAATATATATATATATATATATATATATATATATATATATATGGAAGTCATCTGTTAAATCAAAAATGAGAAATAGTAAATTCATCACTAATGAATAGTATTATTTTAAGTTAGTTGTCATGTAATCAGTTTAATATTAGTCAACTCACTTCTGTGTCAAATAAATCAGTTTTCTAGAAAATATCTGAACTCTAACAAACTAACTCTGAGTATACTAACAATCTAGTAATAATATCATTAACTGGTCAATTCAAAACTGAAATAAATTAAATATTGAGTCGTCTATGTTGTGCTCCGATAAGAATAGTGGATAAATAATTTGGGATCCATTTATGGATTAATACTATGCATATATTTTTTATCCTGTAATTGCTAAATAACTAAACTATTCATATTCATGTTCCCCTTATCATGAGCTTTATTTTGACCTATAAACTATTGTTATGTGATTTACCATTCTTGAATAATGCCCTGTCTATCAATTACTATCTCCCTTATTCACAGCCATATAGGGCTAAATGTTGTACAATTGTTATTCTCTATTTTATGTAACGATGTGGTCAGTTTGGTTGGCATATAAACCCAGTATATTTGAAGTATACTGCTTCATACCGCAG